AGGGGGGGAAGGAGGGGAGGCCGAGTCAGCCTCTGGCCACCACTCTCCCAAGCCCTGGCTTTAAAATGTGCTCCACCCCTCCCACCCCGCCTGCCTTCTGAGTTCCTTCACAGAGGAGCAAGACACAGACAGGCGGAAGGGACACAGGGCCCGCCTGTGTGCCCTGACCTGCAGTGGGTGGGTTGTTGCTGCCTGGTTTGTGCTGGTCCACATTCCACACCAGGTGGGTCTGGAATTTAGCAGCGGGGCTCTACTTGGAGTGAATATGCATCACCCTGGCCTCCAACTCTCCCATATTTTCCCAATGGGGGAAGATATATGTATTTTGGTGGCATAAGTCACACCTAGTGGGCCAGAGCTAGAAGCCCCAGACCCTCCAGGGGGCTGTCTGGACGTTGCACAAAATTGCAAACTCTGCACTGACTGCCCAGGCTCACTCACCTCCATCCCCAAATTACACAGTAAAGCAAGATGGAGCTGCGCCCAGCATTGGGGCTGTGATGACTATACTCCCCAGCAATTCCAGCTCTGACTCTTGCAAGCCCCCCAGGAAGTGAAGCATTCCCTTTAGCTCTCAGATAATTGGTGAGGGGTCCGTCAGTCCCCACACTTCACTGTCACCCTTTAGAAAGAGCAGAAAGAGAAGGTACAGCTTAAAGTTTTTGTTTTCTGCTGGTTGGGTTTTTGTATCTTTAGCAGCTCTTTGGCTGCCCAAGATCTGCACTCTGGAGGGGCACAAGTTTGGTCAGAGCCGCCCACACAAAACACACACACACAACACACACACACACACACACACACACACACACGCTGCCTAGTCTGTCGCTGCATACTGGTGGCACAAAACTGCCCCCACAGAGGTCTGTTTAAGCAGTGAGGATGCTGCATGCCATAAACCGTCTTTGTAGACCAAGTGTGGAAAAGAAAATATAAACACCAGGAAGGACACACAAGCCCTTACAAATAATTCGAAAGCAATCATAACGCATCAGTTCTGGGGAGAAGCAAGAGGATCGGTCTGGAGCCTCCTGGCCAGAGCCTCGGGTTCCCCTGGACGCGCCCTGCAGATCCCCGGGCCAAGGGCAGGGCCGGCGCCGGGTGGTCCGCGAGAGCGGGCGCGGGGGTCCTCCCGGAGCCCGCCCTCTTCCTCTGAGGCGGCCCGAGACCCCCGGGCTCCCCTCCCCCGCCGCCCGCCACATCTGGTTCCACTCAGATCCTCCCACACCTCCAGGCGCGCTCCTCCTCCTCTCCTCCCCCCGCTTTCAGAAAAGCGGAGACGATCTTTAAAAACCCAGTCACACACACACGCACACACACACACGCACACACGCTTCTGGCGGGGGCGGGGGGGAGGAGGGAAAAGTCGGGAAGAGAGGCCCATTCCTCGGCGCTCCCCCCGCTCCGCCCCTGAAGTTGGCCAAGTTGGCAGCGCCTTACCCGGGAGGGCGGCGGCGGCGTCCCCGGGGGCGCCGGGGCGGCTGGACTGCAGACCCCCGAGCAGCAGGACGCAGCGCAGCAGGTGACGAGGCGC